GACGGAACCAGCTTTTCTGAATATATCTAGACTTGGACAGTGTATAGTTGTGGAAAAGAAGGTATGAAATATCTAGCTTCTATTGAATAACACAATAATGTGTTTGTTCTTACTAGTGCTAGGCATGGACAAAAACTAATACATTATAACCATTACTGAAAGTGTAACGACCGACCGCACAAATGACTCAAAACCACAGGAAGACATAGGAATGAAGACGCAAGCTGCTTTTCTGAACAAATGTAGACGTTGAAAGTGTATAGTTGTGGAAAAGAAGGTATAAAAAAACAAGAATCTAGGTTCTATTGAAAAACACAATAATGTGTTTTTTCTTACAACAAGGTGTGCACAATAGCTAATGGATTATAACCGTAACTAAAAGTGTAACGACCGATCACACAAGTTACTCAAACATTAAGCGGACATAGAAATAAAGATGCTGCAATCATTTACGAACAATTTTAAATTAATATACAGTTGAGCTGTGCAAAGAAACCGTAAAAAGCTATCTCTTGTAGAAAAATACTACAGTGTTATAGTTGTTTTAATTAGGCATGCACAAAAACTAATGGGTTATAACCATTACTAAAAGTGTAACTACCGACCGCATTAGTTGCTGAAAAACAGAAGTGGACAAAGGAATAAAGACGCAACCAGCTTTTCTGAACAAATCTAGACGTAGATAGTGTATATTTGTGCAAAAGAGGCATGAAATAGTTATGTATTAGTATTATGGAAGACTACAATTTATAATATGTTTGTTCTTACAACTAAACATGCACTAAAACTAATAGAGTATAACCATTACTCTAAGTGTAACGACGGACTGCACAAAATACTGAAAATAATAGGAAGACAAAGGAACAAGGACAGAACCAGCTTATTTTAACAAATCTAGTCTTGGACAGTGTATAGTTGTTGAAAAGAACGTATGGCATAGATATCTCGCTTTTCTTGAAAAACGCAATAATGTATTTGTTTTTTCAGCTAGACGTGCACTAAAGCTAATAGATTGTAAGCATTACTGAAAGTGTAACGACTGACCACACGAATAAATAGGCCTACTCGAAACCGCAGGAGGACATAGAAAAATGAAGCTTCCGTCTTATACGAACAACTTTAGACTAATATACAGTTAAGTTGTGCAAAGAAACCGTAAAAAATCTATCTCTTGTATTTAAACACAGCATTGTTATGTTTTTTTTTCAATTAAGCATGTACAAAAACTAATAGATTATAGCCATTACTGACTGAAAGTGTAACAATCGACCGCACAAATTACTCAAAACCGCAAGAGGACACAGGAATAAAGATATATCCAGGTTTTCTGAACAAATCTAGACTTGTACAGTGTATATTATATTTGTTGAAAAAATGGTATGCAATATCTAGCTTCTATTGAAAATAATGTGTTGATTCTTACAACTGGGCATGCACAAAAGTAATAGCTTATAGATCTAACCGTTACTGAAAGTGTAACGACCGACCTCACAAGTTACTCACACATTAGGCGAACATAGAAATAAAGATGCTGCCATAATTTATGAACAACTCTAGACGCATACAGTTAAGCTGTTCATACAAACCTTCAAAAAGCTATCTCATGTAGTAAAACACAACAGTGTTATGATTGTTTTAATTAGGCATGCACAAAAACTAATAGATTATGACCATTGTTGAAAATGTAATTGCCGACCGCACAAATTACTGATAATCATAGGAGGACGAAAGAATAAAGATACAACCAGCTTTTCTGAACAAATCTAGACATTGAAAGTGCATAGTTGTGCTAAAAAGGCATGAAGTGGTTATCTTCAATGGAAAAACACAATGATGTGTTTGTTCTTACAAATAGGCATACACAAAAAACTAATAGATTATAACCATTACTGAAAATGTAATGAGCGGCCGTACACATTACTGATAACCATAGGAGGGCAAAGGAATAAAGACGCAATCAGGTTTTTTGAACAAACCTAGGCTTGGACAGTGTATATTTGTGCAAAAGAGGCATGAAATATTTATGTATTATGGAAAAATACAATAATCTGTTTGTTCTTACAACTAAACATGCCCAAAAACTAATAGATTATAACCATTACTGAAAGTGTAACGACCGACAGCGCGAATTACTGAAAACCGTAGGAAGATATTGAAATAAATTGCATCCGTCATATTATATGAACTTTTAAGACTAATATACAGTAAAGTTGAACAAAAAAAAAAGCTGTCTCTTTTAGTTAAACTAATAGATTATAACCATTGCTGAACGTGTAACGACCGGCCGAACAAATTAATGTACAGAAAATCATAGGAGAACAAAGGAATAAAGACGCAACCAGCTTTTCCAAATTTAGACCTGGACAGTGTATAGTTGGGGAAAAGAAAGTATGAAATATCTAGCTTCTATTGTCAAACACAATAATTTGTTTGTTCTTACAACTAAGCATGCACCCAAACTAATACTAATCGATTATAATAACCATTACTGAAATTGAAACGACCAACTGCAGAAATTACTGAAAATCGTAGCTGATGACAAAGGAATGAAGACGCAACCAGCTTTTCTGGACAAATTTAGAAATGACAGTGTATAGATGGGCAAAAGAAGGAATGAACTAGATCTATCTAATAGCTCTATAGAAAAACGCAATAATGTGTTTGTTCTTACGACTAGGCATGTATAAAAACTAATAGATTATAACCATTTCTCAAAGTGTAACGACGGACCGCACAAGTTACTGAAAACCGTAGGAGGACATAGAAATAGAGATGCTTACATCATTTATGAACAGATATATATATATATATATATACACACACACACAGTGGAGTCCACTTATAACGAGTCCGGAAAAAACGAGAGGTCTGTTATAAAGACACTTTTCTAAAACCCCGTTTTTTTTCTCTTCTTTACCTTTGTAAACAAAATACTGCTATTGCGCTATCAGACAAACATGCGAGTCGGTTATAGCGGAATATTGCTGCTGCTGTGCACAGTGAATAGGCCAATTATGCATAATGTAAAACCTCGCCAGTTGAGAAACTTGTTGGTGATTTAGCGAAACAAAGAATGGGAGAGCCCACGTGTGTCAACAATGAAGGCCGGAGCGACTGAGTAGGGAGGGTGTGGCATGCGCAGACAAGCAGAACGCATGGCGTGATAGGCCAGCGTAAGCCTAGTTTAGATTATCAAGGCCTTCCATGCCTCTCACTTCTCCGATGTGGGGATGGAGAGGTCACAGTGTTATGATGGATGGAGTGAATGTGTGACGTGCGCAAGCAGACGGAACGCACCACAAGGTGTGGTGGGGTGGGAGACAACACAGCGGGCAAGTAAGCCTAAAGCACTTTTTTTTCTGATCGCTAACGCCGAGCTGTCAGTCAACATCACTAGTGCTACAGAAAGAAACCTGATTCAATTTATGATCAAGTAAGACCTAGAGGTCATGTTGGGCAAAATCATCATCAGGAGAGACAGCAAAAGGAACTAAACAGAACTGCTAACTCATAGATTAGGCCTATTTTATTATTTCCCTTTAATTTATTACTGGATCCCTTATAGCGAGAATCCTGCTATAACGGACATTTTGCACCGGTCCCCCCTTTCGTTATAACAGGATTCCACTGTTATATATATATATATATATATATATATATATATATATATATATATATATATATATATATATATATATATATATATATATATATTATCATAATATGCTGTTTAGTCGAGTAAAGAAACCGTAAAAAAGCTGTATATCCTTTAATAAAACAAAATAGTGTGTTGCTTTTTAAAACTAAATAGGTATTCACAAAAAACTAACAAATTATAAACCTTACGTGTGATTAGTAAGCCAAGGTTGCCTACTGTACTGTCGAAGGGTTAAATCGTGCTTCTTGTTTTCGTTGTAGACAAAGACAGTTATTAAGTCAGATAATAATGTTGTATAAGAGGGATTTAGAATAAAATCGACTGTACAGTCGAACCTGTGTAAGACGCAACCGCAAGGGAGCCAGAAAAAAAATCCGTCTTAGACAGGGGAATTTAGGGGGAGATGGAGGTTGAGGGAGGGGGGGGGGGTGATTCAAAGGCCCAGCCGATGGGATCAAGGATCGCTTGTCCGATCGTCAAGCAGTGGTCAAAACTTCACACCTCTCAATTGCTGTCCTGTCTGATAATGACGTGTGTCAGTCTTACTTATCCAATTACCACCAGTGTTTGCCTTTCATGGGACCACTGTTTGACCAATTAAAAACAGAAACGTTTGAACATCTCCTTTGCTTCCACCCTTAGCCCCACCCAGCAATGCCACCCTTCACTGCCATAATTGTAACAATGATTTGAGGAACTCTTTTCTCGGCTGGCCGTACGATCAAGGCGGCAGGCATTGGTCAATCTAATTCACACCTCTGGCTTCTGGCTACCCAGGAAAGTTTCCGTGGTGGCTGGCTACTAGAGCGCTCTCACGGGCAGTCGTGAGATTTCACACCCGCACTACACTGACCATCTGCATCACTCAGGGCTCACATGATGGGGTAACATCTAGGCCTACCCCCAAATTGCACCCCTACTCCCCTTCCTCGCTCAGCGGTATGGCCATAGCATTAGATCTAAGTTTAGAGCCGGCGGAACCAAACTTGCCAGTTTTGTTTCAAATCAGGGCTGAGCGGGCAAAGCATTTATCGTCTTAGACAGGTGAAACCCTAGGAAGGGAGCGGATTTTTCTTTCCGTTTCCGCGCTGGACAGGTTTCCGTTTTATACAGGTAATTAAAGAGGAATATATCAAGGAGGGGGGCGGGGCGGGGAGATCCGTTAAGACAGGTTTCCGTTAAGGCAGGTTCGACCAGAGACTAGACTACATGTATTTATTTTATAATCATTGGGTTCGACTCTAGACGGCCAGAGATAGTATAAGAACCAAGGAGAAAGCAGCGTACTGCTCGTGGCGCCGCGAAGAGAGAGAGGAGGCTCCATTAGTTCTTAACTCCTTGATAAGAACGTATGACGTATAGGTTCGACCTGAATCGACCGTAATTTAAATGTTATTTTATTCTCTCCCATGTCACCGGAAACGTGTTGTTTTTTAGTAGCAGCTGTCGACTCTTCCAGACTCGGAGAACAGAAACAATACTATTTACTGCGGTCTATTTGATGTTGCTGGGCAGCCCTCGTAGGCATCGGACAGGTAGGTTTGTCTTTACGAGTGATCTACCAAGGTTTTAATCTTTGCTTTCCTTGTTTTTTGCGCTCTTAAAAATATCAGAACACGTATTTTTGGCCCCGAAGATCACCCGAGCTTGACTAGCCGGTGGAAAGAGGGTTTGCATTCCTATCGATGTTCAGCAATTGTCGACGTCGACGGGCAGAATAATATTGAGATTTGTTTACATCTTGCATTTCGCTATGTTACAACTTAGATCTAGATCTACATAATCATGTATAGGCATAGGTCTACTTCTTTCCTCTCCCCCTTTTTGCTGTTGCAGCAGATTTTCAGGAGCTTAAACAATATTTTTCGCCAACTTGCCTCGTACTAAGGCCAGGTACAGGTAGCAAACCCACATAGATCTAGTATTCTAGATATATAGAAATAGAATCTAGATCTAGATATAGATCTAGATCTAATCTAGATCTAGAATCTATATCTAGATCTATATTTAGATCTAGATCTAGTTGTAGTTTTATGTGGTGGTAGCATTTGATTCATTGATTGATTGAATATTATTTTTTTGTAAGTCAAGTGTAACTCTGTAATAGATAGATTGGCGATAGGTCTAATAAGTAAATGTTTCATGATTGGGTTGGATTTAACTTTGGCGGTGGACCCACCATGTTTACTTAGCATTAATTTGATTAATGCGCACAAGCCATAACAACAGTTGGGGGTTTCAGGGGAGTTGGCAACAATAATAATCTAAAAAGGCTATTTGCAACGCCGCGTTCTGATTAGCTCCCATGCTATTTGAAACGCCGCGTTCTGAATAGTGCCCATCATGCTATTTAAAACGCTAGTACTAGATTCTAGTAGCCATCGTTTCTACATGAGATCTTATAATATTGTAGTTTTTTGTTTTGTTTTAGTAGAGGTTTTACGACACTTGCAACTGCATAAGGTCTAATATTGTAGTTTTACCTGAATTGTGGAAGTTTTCTCAGTTTCTTGATAAACCTCCATGGATTTGACTCCTTTTTATGACGTCTTCTTCCGATCAATCCTGGGTCGATCTAGATCTAGATCTAACAATTGTTTCTGACACTGACATTATTTGTTTGCACAAAAGTAGTCTTGTTCATCTTTCATAATCATAATTTGAGTTTGAGTTTGATCAAGTAAGTCAAAAGACGCTTGGATAACAATAACAAGATGGTGCAACTCGGTCTAAGCACTATTTCCTGTCAATAGTGTCATCGTACAATACCTAAAAATAATTGTTTGACCTATCTCTGCGTACACTTTACATTTTGCTATCACACATAACGTCGCTTGATCTAGATTTCTAGACTTCGGCCTTGAAATTAGCAGAAGGTGGTGTCTTTCTTCTCTAACGTTAGGCCTAGAGAACGTTATACAAGCTGTTTACGTTCTCTAATGTTCAGTGATCCCAAGCATGGCATCGAATCCTGGTCCTTGAAGGTTTTTTTCCTGTCCTGAGCCTAAAATTATTTTTTTAAAATAATTAGACTCACTGACCAAGGAAAGAGCTATTGAACTTTAACCATACCTAAGTTGGTAAAAGGAAAAGTATAGACCTACTTTGCAGGTAAAAGCTCCTCTTGCGGAAAAAACCCAGAATGTGCATGCTTCATCACCACATAAAAAACTACTACAAAGCAATAAGTTTTTATTATGGGAAAAAATTGTTGGTCAGTCGGGAAGAGGAGAAGAAGAAAAAAAAACAAAACAAAAAACTTCCAGGACCGGGATTAATTCGTACCCACGCTCATAAAATAATGGTTTGACTTCAAATGCAGACGTGCTGTCCATTTGGCCATCAGAACTTCCAACAACGAAGCGTAGATTAATCCTTATATTTAACACGTAGCATTTTATTTAACACTGGAGCTAATCGCAACGCGGTGTTGCAAATAGGCACTTCCATTTTAAAAAGGTAGTGTAGAGTAAAATGGAGCTCTTTTGCGTTGATGAGTATATGTGCTCGGTGTTCTGCGTACGTGAACTTCCGCTTATGCACGCCTCTCAGTCCACATCTGTGTGTGTATGTGTGTGTGTGTGTGTGTGTGTGTGTGTGTGTGTGTGTGGGAGG